TCTTCATATAGTTACAGATGGAAAACAGTGGGTTTAAGGACAAGTTGCCTACCTACATGTCTACTAACATATCTGGTGGTCTCAAGAACTCAGCAGATCTAGTGTGGGGTCTGAGGGTCTCCCTTAATCCCTTACCTCCCTGGTAAACTCAGACCTCTTATATCTATTGCGTTAGTCTTAATGTGGTGCCGATCCTGTCAAGGTATTTGTTGGGAGATCATGACATTATCCAACTGCTTCTGAGCTGGGAAGAATAATGGTATTTGTCTAAATTTCCTTATGCCAGGTCAGCATGTTTTAAAACTCTAAGCCTTGCAACAGTTGTCTTACCACTGGACCTCAGTCTTAAATGTAGTTTCTGAAAATATTATCTTTTACACAAGAAAATTATCATAAAACAAATTTCTTGGTATCTCAGATTTCTTTTCCCATTTCAAAAACATGGCTGACAGGTGGCCATTCAACCTCCAGATGAAAAAAAGAATACAGGGAAAGTGAGAGCTGGAGCTCAGACAACAGAAGGCCTATGAATTTCATTAGCTACATGCACAGTTCATTCAGGACCCCATGTGCTTTTAGTTACATTATAATCTCCTCCAATAAACAAATTTCTATAAAGTTGTTAAAAAAATAGAATAAGAAAGAAGAGGTTGAGTTTGGAGGGATTATTTTAATTGGATTTTGAACTTTGTATTTGTTTGCACACATGCTTTTGCAGATATCCAAATTCTTATGTTACTATGTCTGGAATAGGATTTCATTAAAGTATTTGAGAGTTGTAATGAAGGTTTCTCAAATGGAGAAATGCTATCTGGAAGTGCTGAGGTGTAGCAAATAATGCAAGCAAGAAGAGACTGGTATAAAGACATAGAAATCTTTTTAAAAGGATAGAGTAATAATTGGTTATTTTAGAAGTTTATGAGCAACTCATTCATAACAGCAATTTCAAGTTCAATATGTGTTTGTAGCTCAACTTCTACATAGCATGGCCCCCTCTCTTCCGCTCTTGATTTAATGCTTCTTCAAATCCCTGATCTTAAATGTCTGGTGTTCCTGTAGAAACAATATTTGCATTATGCAGCAACCTGCACTATAATGTATGGTGTCACCATAATGTAAACCCATAGGAACATACCAGAAACTTATATCAGAGAAAATTTTAGTAATTCAAATCAAAGTCAAACATTTTCCAGTTCCTTACCACCTTTATAGTGAAGCATTGCTTGTTAACAGCTGGCTTGCATGTCTCCAGTTATTTTCAATAAGACGGAAAGGAAAACATTGAAAAAGGTTTTTATAAGGAATAACCATAAAGTAATCCAAAAAAAATTGGTGACCTGCAATTTTACTGGACTCTGATGTGTTGAACGGTAATCTATAATCCCAAGATTAAAACAAGGCATTTCTGATTATGAGATACAGAGCTACACATAAATGCATTCACTTTCCCTTTTTTCACTGAACACCATGGATTCCAGAAGCTTAGAAACTTACCATTTCCATAGAAAAAAAACCCAAACAAATTCAAGGACTTGCTTGAGAGCATGGTTTGGGTGGGTCATCACATTACTGCAGTGGAAAATAGTTAAATCTTTGCAGCTTGAAGAACTGTTATTCTAATTAAAAAGAGAAATGACATATAGCTCGAAAGGAAAAAACAGGGACCATTAAACAAGGCCTTTGACACTATCTTAGAGGAAAAGGCATGTGCTGCAGCAAGTCTATGCAAAATATCACAAAATGCGAAAAAGAAGAGCTTGTTTATTGCAGTGTCTCTTAGTTTTCTAATGATTCTGTGGCCAAAAGCCCAGTTACTATGGTTATTATCATGCAGTTCAGCATTGGTGATACATTACAAATATAAATGTTTATGTACTATATCATTTGCATATGTGTATATAATTAAAATAGGACTTTGGAATATTTATACAGTATCTTTGGATTTGAAAGAGAAAGAAATAGAAAGCAAAGATTATTTTATATGTGTTTAGAGATATAGCATTTGAAATAACCTCCTGTAGCACTGGTTATGTTTATGGAGCAAGGTGCAAATCATAGAATCATAGAATCCACCAGCTTGGAAAAGACCTCCAAGATCATAGACTCCAACCATAATGTGGTTACTAGACTATGGCACTAAGTGCCACATCCAGTCTCATCTTGAAAACCTCCAGGGATGGTGAATTCACCACCTCCCCAGACAGCCCATGCCAATGTCTGATTACTCTCTCTGCAAAAAAATCTCTTCTCAATATCCAACCTAAACCTCCCCTGACAGAGCATGAATCTGTGCCCTCCTGTCCTACTACTGGTTGTCTGGAGAAGAGACCAACTCCCACCTGACTACAACCTCCTTATAGGTATTTGTAGAGGGCAATAAGGTCTCCCCTGAGCCTCCTCTTCTCCAGGCTAAACAACCCCAGCTCCCTCAGCCTCTCCTCATAGCACTTGTGCTTGAGTCCCTTCACCAACCTCATTGCTCTTCTCTGGACCTGCTCCAGCACCTCAATATCCTTCCTGAACTGGGGCCCAAAACTGTGCACAGTATTCAAGGTGTGGCCTCACCAGCACAGAGTACAGGGGCAGAATTACCTCCCTGGTCTGCTGACCACACTGTTCCTGATCCAGGCCAGGATGCCATTGGCCTTCTTGGCCACCTGAGCACACTGCTGGCTCATGTTCAGCTTTCTGTCTATCCAAACTCCCAGGTCCCTTTCTGCCTGGCTGCTCCCCAGCCACTCTGTCCCCAGCCTGGAGTGCTGCATGGCTAAAGTGCAGGACCAGCACTTGGCCTTGTTAAACCAAGTCCTTGTTTAAACCAAAGACCAGTTATGTTCAGTTAAAGGTCTGCTTGAAATTTTAAATTACCATAGCAAATATTTATGAAGATTTAAACTCAAGAAAAGTTTCCTTTTTTATTCTTGTTTGCATTTGCTATAATGTCTTATGCCCAAGGTCATGCTGGTTTATGCTATTTTATGAAAGTAAGAAAAAAAAAAGGAGGAAAAAATATCCCATGCTGTAAAATAAATTAGTAGTATATTTTTTAATAAAAGCAAATATTTGCTAGGAATTTCTTGTGTGTTCTATAGAATTGTATACAGAAAAAAATTTTTTTTGGGGGGGAAGTTCCCAAGATGACATTGACAAAACAACAAGCAAATCAAAATTCTTCATCACAAAAATCATAAATTTAAAGTCACGGTTCAGAAGTTTTCTCATAACAGGCTGTTTAAAAGACAAGAAACTATCTGTTTGTTAAAGCTTCAAATGCCATTTATACTTTCCAATCACAATGAATAGCTCATATGCAAAGTATATTGTTTTCTTAACAAGATTCTAACCAGGTCCCTAAAATGTAAGAGCATTAGAAGAATAATTACTGAATTCCTTTAGCCCACCATAACATTAATGAATTTTGTGGCTCTGAGTGTGTCTAGCTCTATTCAAGAGTAAATCCCAAACATATTTTTAAAGATTCTGCAGTAAATGGAAATAAAAAAAATAAAAATAATTTATTCTACCTTAAGATCTTACTGCATTAAAAAAGAAAATTGTATATATGTAGGAAAAAGCATCAACAAAGTAAAGCAACCATAGTAAAATATAGTTGCTGGAAGCAGAAATCCAACTTTGTTGAAAACTTAGTAATTATAAAGAAATGCATAACATCAAAAGCATTTTGAGGATATGAAACTTAATATCAAATTGTGAAAGTTTTATGAAAGAACTTATGCACTAAGCCTGCATACATTATTAGATGGTTTTAGTTTGGTCTCTTATCTCCTCTCATTTCTGTTGTTAGAAATTTGTGTAACCTAAAGGAAGGATTTAAGAATTAAGCTTTAATATTAATTTCTTCATATTGACTACTTTCAGCATCTGTTAAAAAGGAATAAGTGACTTGAACCTGATGCAAAAATTGAAAAAAAAATGCAGATTTCAACTTGACTAAATCTATCTGCCTTAGTGCAAAACAGCTGTATGTTTTTGTGCTGAGTTCCACAGCTTCTCTCTGGAACAGTCTGCTATCACTTCTGCTACAATAGTGGAAGTATTTTGTACTTACCTTTGCCACATGTACAATCTCTGTGTTCCATTAGGTCACAAAACAACATTGCTTTCCTTTATCTGTGGATTATTCAACCTTTCACAAGCCTATCATCTCTGTGGTATTTACAG